ACAAAGTCGCCAGTTCTCATCTTCCAGCTCCCCAGATACTCCGCGTACTAAAGTTGCACTACAAAGTCGCCAGTTCTCAGCTTCCAGCTCCACAGATGCTCCGCGTACTAAAGTTGCGCTACAAAGTCGCCAGTTCTCAGCTTCCAGCTCCACAGATTGCTCCGCGTACTAAAGTTGTACCACAAAGTCGCCAGTTCTCATCTTCCAGCTCCCCAGATACTCCGCGTACTAAAGTTGTACTAGAAATAGTCGCCAGTTGTCATCTTCCAGCTCCCCAATCGCACTCTCGCCTGCATTTGCTCCATCGACACGCACGATCTCCGCAGAGGGTTGCCCGCGACAAAACCAAATCGTACTCTCGCCTGCATTTCGCTCACTCGACACGCACGATCTCCGCAGAGGGTTGTCCCGGACCGGGACAAATCGCACTCTCGCCTGCATTTCGCGCACTCGACACGCACGATCTCCGCAGAGGGTTGCGCCGGACAAAACCAAATCGCACTCTCGCCTGCATTTCGCGCACTCGACACGCACGATCTCCACAGAGGGTTGCCCGCGACCGGGACAAATCGCACTCTCGCCTGCATTTCGCACACTCGACACGCACGATCTCCGCAGAGGGTTGCCCGCGGCAGAGACAAATCGCACTCTCGCCTGCATTTCGCGCACTCGACACGCACGATCTCCGCAGAGGGTTGCGCCGGACAAAACCAAATCGCATTCTCGCCTGCATTTCGCGCACTCGACACGCACGATCTCCGCAGAGGGTTGCGCCGGACAAAACCAAATCGCACTCTCGCCTGCATTTCGTGCGCTCGACACGCACGATTTTGCGCAGAGGGTTGCGTTTCGTGGCGCTCCGGCGGCACTGCCCCCGGCCTTAAGAGAGAAACTTAAGAAGAGCGAGAGGTGAAGATGTGAGCTGTAGATGTGAGGATGTGAAGATGAGCAGAGATGATGTGAGGATGTGAAGATGAGCAGAGATGTAGATGTGCAGATGTGAACATGAGCAGAGATGTAGGTTTGTGAAGATGAAGATGAGCAGAGATGTAGATGTGCAGATGTGAAGATGAGCAGAGATGTAGATGTGCAGATGTGAACATGAGCAGAGATATAGGTGAGAATGTGGATGTGCAGAGGTGAAGATGTGAAGATGTAGACCCTGACTATAAGAGGCCCTTCAATCAGGTTACTGTATATTCTTCAACGTTTTGACACATATTTTGTTTGGTGCATTGAAAAAGTCATCTGTGCCACATGTAGATTTCATATGTTTTCATGGTGGCACCATGAATCGTCGCCATGCGGGCCACGCTTCCCACCACCGGTTCCCCGTGACCGCTGCGGGCCACGCGCCTCAGCTTCGGCCCGCAATGAAAACGGTGCTGAGGTCGTTAACGCAATTCACGCCGGCGTCCATCGATGTTGCGGCGGTGAACGTCCCCGAACGTACCGTGGCAAGAGGTGTGAATAAGATTGAATAAGTTAATTAATGATTTTCATTGTTTCGTTTTTTGGGTTCCACCATTTCCGCAGATTTGGGGAAATGCTTTCTCCACAGCTGGAGTCAATAGGTCTTCAGAAGAAGCTTGAAAACATCGCGGTGTGTAGTTGCCAAATTCCCTCATTGCCTTTCGCCGGACAATGAAGTTCTTTGTTGCGCTGCACTGTCAGCAACCTATACTGTAATTGTCATATATAATCAAAACTTACCCCCAAAGAAACTGAATCTATTTGAGAGGATACCCGGCCGCTTGTCGAAAGTCGTATCGCCACGTATTCTCAATATGACAATGGAGTGTGACACGTCCACAACATGTTCAGGGGAGTACGAAGATAGTCTCAAACCCCAGCCGACCTTAGTTTGGCCAAGGCATATTCTCTGTGGTGGTGACGCTTGCAGGACTGCTTAGGTACTGGACTTTATGTTTTGACGTTTCGAAAGTGCGGGCTTCATGGAGGTCTGGCGGGGGAGGGTCCTTCTCATCATGACAATGTTGGAGACTTGCAAAGGAAGATATTGGACCGAACAGATTTGTGTGTACTTAAGAATCTTGTCTGTCCTGCACACGTGTTTTCTCTTTTTGTAGAGTCCTGATAGGGGCATAGGCAGGGAATGCCAATGCCATAGGGTCCTCGCCAACGGGTGTCCATCCAAGACAGCTCATATCCCAGGGTCGGCCACGAGCAGCTTCCACTCACTCCTCATTAATTCTACTAGCAGCTCTTCGCCCAACTCATGTCCAGATGCTTGACTTTCTTCCAGCCCTTCCAGGACTCATCGTCTTTAGTCTGTTCATTGGCTCCATCAATCAAGCGCTTGGTCGTTTGGCAGCGCTCACTGCGCAGCTTGGCGCAGATTGATGGGATGAGGACACTGACACAGGGGAATCCGGCATAAACATTGTGGGCATAGAAATCAGTCAGCATGAGAAGAGACAAACACTGTGGCAGGATGCACTGATGCATCACTTCTTTTAGGCCAAACGATCTCCAGGTCAATGCGTCAACTATCCATGGCTATTTTCATCGTTTTTGATGGCTCAGACTCAGACACCTCAGAAATCTTAGTTTTGAGGCAAGAGACCCGACAGCATTTGCTGGTCCGTCGCTATGTCACCGAGAAGCAAGTCTCAGCCACTTGGAGCACGGGAATATGGGAGGATATGGCTGTGGCCTAGCTTGTCCGCTGACCCATTGAGCCCTTCGTGCACCCCGCACCCCAGAATTTCAACATTCAAACAGTAGTAGCACCATGCAGCACCCATGTAGATTCGCCGAGGTTTGATTAGTTTCGCCCACTCCAGCTCGTCCAAAACCATCCAACATTTAGATTTGGGGTTCTGTTCACAGAAGGGTCTGCTGGGTCTGTTATATTTTTTGCCAATCGACCACAGTACACGTCCCTCATGACTCTTGACTAAAAGCTACAAACCATGTGTAAACCTTGGACTTTAGGTGTACTGCATAGTAACAGTGTCAATGCTAAAGAGTGTCAGAGTGTCCCTCAGGAATACCTCCTTATATAACTCTCAGGTATCGTGTATCTTTTTCTCGCTTCTACCTTGGTGGGCATAGCCTCGGGAATACCAGGATTGAAGTCAGTCATATTGTTTTTGATGTTGTAGGCGTCTAAGGGCTGTTTCTACTGATTGCACAAACAACATCGGTCCATATTCCATGAAGGTTCAGTCCAGACTGATGTATGTTTTTCCGGGTTTACATGGTCAATCTACGTATGGCGCCCGGCCGAGCCGCTCGCAGCTGTTGAGTGTAGGGTATGACTGAGGCAGCCGATCGGTGGGGTGCAATGATTCCGACAAAGCTATTGAGCCATCCGGATCTGAGGTGGAGCTTGCTGCAGACATCCTGAGATGTATACAGCAGAGAGGTCTTGGAAAGGAGAGTAACTTGGTCTAATAGTGGAGATGATTAGGATCCACCAAAAGTTGGAGCTGCAGGGTATATTGCCGGAATTCCTGGGTTGCTAGTTCTTTTGAGGAGAACAGCTGGACACATTCCAACACAGCACAAATACCACTCCACGCAGCCCCCGTCGGGCCTCAGAGGTGAAGCCGTTTCCGAATCTGGCCCCGGTGATCTCCAAAAACATCCAGCTAGTAGTAATTGCTAGTAGTAGCTTCTTGTTACTAGTAGTAATGCACTTGTTACTAGTAGCTTCTTGTTACTAGTAGTTCCCAGTGTTTTGTGCTTCGGATTATCATGGATTATCCACGATCCATGATTATCCCATGTATTCTGTACCATTACATGAGGGTGTTCGAAGCAGTGGGAAACCAACTCGCGACGAGGCAGCAAGCTGGTCCTCTCGGATATCAAGATCCTGGACACCTGGCGTGGTACAAGGGACATGATTGGCCAGTGAGCGTGCTTGAAATTGCAGTGAATGTCATGGGATCTCCAAACATTGCAAGACAACCCCATGTTGAAAATGTAAAAACACACACTTCACAATCCCAAGTCACAATATACACAACATCCCAAAGACATTTTGAAAACATGCAAAAGCCAGGTGTGTTTGTGTTTATATCGCGGACATCTCAAAACAACCACAATCTCCACTAGTAACATACAGCATGGGTATATTATGTGCCTTGGGCCACGGCTCAAAACCTAACAATTTGCATTGAACATGGACATGTGATCTAAATCATTCTAAATCTGTATGTGAGCCATAAGTAGTGTGATATGTGCGTGTTCAGTGACTTCTTCATCTTCCTCCAAAGCAATCTAACCCGCAGAGATGTACTGTATGAAGATTTGTGGTCTACAAGCCGGCACAGACAAATTCACGCCCTTATGCTGCCTTACGCCAGAAGTTACCTCAGGCATAGCATTGATCCAGAATCCTTGTATAAGATTTGTGATTGGTGACCTATCCACGCCCCCAAGCTTTCATTTCAGCGGTTTTCAGAATGCTCACTCCTTTTGTGATTTGTTGGGATTGGATTTCCCCACAGTCGACTTGAGCACGATCCAACGCACTCCCCCACTGCCCTTCCAACTCTAGGCTGGAGGTGCAGGAGGTTTGGCAATGGATGCGAAGAGATGTAGTACGTAGCAGAAAGAACATAATTCCAGGAAGCATGCAAACCTCCACCAGAATCTGCTGCATTAGCATATCCTTTTTGTAAGGATGTCAATTTATATAAAGAGCTGAAGAGACACATATATAACATTATATAATATACATCTAGCAAACAGCGACCAAACACGAGGCACCAAAACTTAACGAGATCGACATGATCGGCTGCCCACTGAGTGGCTCGCAAAACACTGGAGAAGGGCCAAGCAACACATCTCTCTATAAGCTTGGTCAACGGAGTGAAAAGGCTACATCATGTAGCCATTGACCCAGGCTTTGGTGGCAAAAGGCGACGAACAAATGACATTGGCAGCAACCCTCACTGTGTGCCCCATCACTAACTTCCAAAGCGAGTTCAGCACCCAGCGACTATCGCATTGAAAAGACAAGGAAAAACAGTCGTCAATCACATCAAGCAACTAAGAAGTAGCTTAAGAAGTAATATGTATAGCCTTGACTGCATGAAGAGCACACGTCCACAAGATGCCAATCATAACATCTCTTGAATCTTCAATCACAAAGCCTCGCCATAGCAAAACTTGATCCAGATCCCTTGCAGCCATAGGGCATAGAGCATTAGTTGTCAACCGGAGTTGAACATGATTCTTGGCACCCATAGCCACGAGACACTACTATTTCGGAGAACTGTCCATGGGCAAGCCGAAGAGTGATTCAAGAATGCAGAGGACTAACAAATTGTTTATAGCCACGCCCCGGAAGGTTTTGGGCCAGAGTGCCTCGGATTCGCCCAAATGCTCGTCAGGAGAGTTTGCCTCGAAAGTTGCTGGTGAAGTTGCAACAAGAAGTCGGTATGCCGGTGCTGGAGTCTCATGGGTTGCTCAGACACGTCCCTTGGGCTTCAAGCTTACATACCTGCGACCCAGGGTATTCTCGTGGTTTTTGTTACCAAGTGGATGCCATGTTCCAATCCAATGGTTTGCTCATGGCATCCACTAGGTCAAGTTATCCAAGGAAATTGTCCTTGGTGTGCCTCTTAATAGAGGCATTATTCTTCTATGGACTAGTTTGAGACATACACTAGTAGCAAGAAGCTACTAGTAGCTAGAAGCTACTTGGTGGAGGTCATTGCTACTAGGTTGGAGGCCATTACTACTAGTAGCAAGAAGCTACTGTTCACTAGATATCACTAGTTATCATCCGCGGAGATGCTCCACGGCCTCACCGCGCCTCGGAGTCACCAACTGAGGTCAGTAACCTCGGCAGTGACACCGAACTAGCAACCTTGTGTGCCTTGGTGAAACGAGAGGAGCATAGTATGTGGTATGTAGTGGCCGAAACGAGATTTCAACACATGACTCATAGTAGGACTTCACACAATATGCGAAGCTCCCACTCTATAGTCTGCATCTGCATCCATGACTTTTGTAGACACTCAACGAGCCATTTACAATCACACAATTGCTTGCAGACGAATCTATGTTTTTTGTGAGTCTTGTGCTCTTGTTCCCCCAGGTGAAACCCAAGATCCCCAAACTTGTCCTGTATAGATCAACGTTAGGAGACTTGTTTGACCGAGTTGCATCAGCCAAGTTAACAGTTTGGCCTCTAGGCTACCGAGCGCTGAAAGAACAGAGTGTCGTATTTGGCGAGGAGCTCTATCAGGCTGGAACTCCCGGTGATTCGGATGATTTTAGGGGGAAAACCCCCAACGCCCATTTTGGTGTCTGTTTATGAGGAAACTCAAGAAACTCGAGCCGTGGGTTTGTTACTTTTGGATATTTGGGCCATTGCTGTTGTTGCATTTGCCGGTTGGTGTTCTTGTTGTTCTCCTCCTCCTGACCATGACTCGTGCAGTTTATGGACCTTCCACCTCCCAGCAAAGATTCGGAAACCAGGCTTCTCCCGATGCGGCCGTGGCTTCAGACTTGGTCGGTCCCCCGCTTAGGCTCCCTTTTGCGCACACTGGTGAGCTGCTTGTGATGCCAACATTGTTTTGCTTGCAAACTAATTTGTTGTAATTGTAATCCGACATAGCACGGTGGCCTGTAATTTGGTTGGCACACAGCATTGCTCCACAAACCTTCAAGAACTTAGTTCGAGGATGCCCCCAAGTGACTAAAACATATGCCTTGACCTGCAGGCCCGTTCAATCTACTTTGGTGCACGTTTCACAAGGGTCTAGTTGTGGTTTCGAAGTGTCAATGTCAACCCGTTCAAAAATGTCTACAGTAATTTATTTACCAGGCTACCGCCTGCAGCCGCCGACCCCCAAGGGATAGAACCTTAGCGCTAGCCTTGCTCTATGTTAGCCTTAGCCTTAAGCCTTAGCCTTAGCCTTAAGAGTGCAGACCCAACCCAGCACCACCAAAGCAGGTACCCAAAAAGTCGACTTTTTGGGTACCTCCCAGATTTACCATCGGACGTCAGCTCTTGCATGAACCCCGATCATTGCCCAAGAATTTAGACCCAACCCTTCACCACCAAAGCAGGTACCCAAAAAGTCGACTTTTTGGGTACCTCCCAGGTTTACCAATTTAGACCCAACCCAGCACCACCAAAGCAGGTACCCAAAAAGACAAAGCCTAGAGCATTCCTAGGAAAATGCCAGAAAAGCCTTTGAAAATCTCATAAACCAACAGAAAACGTGACAAAATCTACGAAAAAGCAAGGGCATTGGCCGGGACCATGCCGCGACCAGCCCGGGATTCGAGCCCAGGACCATTTTGGACCGTGCTTATTTTCCCGCGCGGGTCGAGAGGGTGCCCCAAGATGTAAATCAATTGGGATGGCAGATTCTTGGACAATCCAGGTCGCTTTCCCGGCAGGATTTCGTCACTCCAACAAGGGTCCGGAGGGGTAGGGGAGGTAAGGTCTAGGTCTAAGGCTAAGGACTAGGTCTAAGGTCTAAGGCTAAGGCTAAGGCTAAGGCTTAAGGCTACGGCTAACATCGACAGTCACGCCTCACCCCACGGTGTGGGGTCGGCGGATTAGGATAACCGTAGACCACCAACATCCACCCAGTTTAGAAGAGCTCCCCTTTAACTCTTTTTTTGCTGACGTTTTTCTCAATTACCTTCGTGCGGTTTGTGTTGTTTTTTCATGTTTTTTCCGTTGCCATCTTCGGCATGCGTAGTACGGAATTAAGAACCACTTTAGAGAGTCAGAGAGACGAACCATTTCTGAGATGGTCCGAATGGGTCGCACGAGTTGTGGGACCTTGAAAAGGCCTTGACAAGATACGAGGCCACAGGAGGAGCAGACCCAAACAAGTTGTCAAATGTTGTTCCAGTCGCACATTCAAGGTTCCCCGCTACCACCTCCGAAGACCAAAACGCACCTGCAGCTGGAGACCGTGGCTCAAATTGCTCGACAAAGACGTCCCAGTAGATTCTGCTGCCATGGTGATGCCAAACCCCGTGCCGACAGCAGAGTCGGGCCCAAAGATTTTGGAGGATCTTCTGGGTCCCGGGTCAATCCGAGCGCTGGCCATGCGAAAGCTTTTGTGTTGAGTCCTTAGGACACATCCAGATACACACAGGCTTGTTTACTTGGTTTAATGACATGAACGCTTCTGTTTAGTTCCATTAATAATGTAAAAGGCTGTCCAAGTTTGAATTTTGGTTTGTTGATGGAGTGATGGATGTTTTGCTTGCGTCGCTTTGTAGCTCCTTGTTTTTATGTGTGTGTGGGGTTCGGTCTCAAGGCATTATCTGTTTTGAAGTTTCTATTTGTCCATTTGTAAGTTCCAAACACCCCCAAAAAACGGCTGGAGTTCGTCAGGATGCCTCCTGGTTCGATGGCAATTGGCCATTCATTAGCACCTTCCTATGCCCTGTGTCTTGGCGGATCCGAGGAGATCTGTCGAAGAAGGTTTCGGTGCCACCACTTGGAAGCCAGTGGAAAGCAAGAAAAAGTCCGTAAATGATGGGATACTCCTGACTGGCCTTTGTTTTGAGGTGGGAAATGGTGGGAAGCAGAAGTTGCTTTTCGATTTCGACCTCTCATCCACCGGTCCCTGTATTTAGGCAAAGCTGATTGAAAGGGCAAGCCGCCAGCCTTAATAGCTTGGAGATCGAACGTGTCCAAATGTACAAAACTGAAACATTTGCCAACACTGCAGAAGTCTTCAATGCCACGCCCTTTGAGCCCGTGCCAGGCAGCTTTTCTCCTGCCATTTCTGCTGAGCAAGTCTCGCTTCTGTGGAGCACTTCGAAATCCTTATGTGCTGGGGTGGCTCTCAGTGGCATTCTACCTTTGCCACCACACAGAGGAGGGCCACAGCATGCCACAGCTTTGGCTGTCACGGGAGACATGACATGTACTTTGTTTGATGCATCGCAACTGAATCATTGCGACGTTTTCTGCGGCACCAAGCCTGAAGAAAAAAAACCGCCTGATTCAAAAAAATCAAAATGATTTACTGTAAGCAAGAACCGCCCATGAGAGACGATATTTGTTCACTTCTTTGGATGGGAGGAGCATGCCTACGACCTGCGCGGCTGGCGCTATGCCTTTGTCCCAAGCTTTAACTACAAGCTAGGCCCGATCCTCTTCAAGGACCGCCAAGAATAAGAACCCTTTTTGCCATGCGACACCCCACCGCAACACTCAGAATGGGAGGTCGTAGGCCTGGTCATTGGGGGAAAAACAGTTTGTTTGTTCATTCAATTGAAGTAAGGCTCCAAAAGCATTTCAAGCGCATTCGTTTATTCAAAAGAGGCCGCCTAAAGTCTCAAAACTTGAGTCCAACTTGCTACTGTTGTTTGGGCATTGCTGACAGTCTTCCAGAAGCATTCATAATACATGCGAGGGTACGGACAGTTTTTGCTGTCCAGATACCCTCATCGGGATAGTAGTTGGTTGTAGTTCTTATTGTCGTTTGATTCCACTTGAAGGACGACTTTCTATGCTAGTTGTGGATAGTTGTGGTATGAATCCTGAAACTAGTAACAGTCACAATCAAGTTCCTTATGGAGTTATATGGACTTATGGAGCTTCAGGATGCTTCAGGATGTTTCGGGTATTGGTGCAGGATCATTCACCAGCAACAGGAGGTGTTCCCTAACCTCCACCAGGAGTGCGACAAAATCTCACACATCACCTGCCCGCTCGACGCACGCATGGCCACCTACATCAACGTGATTGTGATTTGGGTAACTGAGCTGACAAAATTATCCATCGTGAAGTCCCTGTCGAGGAGTGTGAAAGTTGTCCTACTGTCCTTCGACTGGTGACGGAGCCTTTCAATCGTCCATCTTTAGCGTGTCATGTAGCCGTTGAAAACAGCATTTGGGTTTTCAAGAGGTTTCGTGGGCTTCCTTTGATGATCACTGCCCCATGATGCTGGTTCGATGATTAAGGGGCATCGAATGGCATCGATGGCACTGATGGCTCACCAGGGAATACCAGGGACAGTAAAAAGATCTTGACTATCATGGACGTCCTTCATTATGTATGTGGATGTTGCTGAGCCCGGCATGACATAATATCAGATTGTGTCTCATCCGTGGATCCCTGCACCGGCCGACTCCGTGGAAGCGTTTCTTTGGTTGTCAGTGACGAGCAAGTTGTTGCATGTTCATAGTCTTTGTATTCCTCTAGAGGCCAGGAGCCTTGGTTTACTTACATAAAGACTACTTTAAAAGAAGGCATGAGTCAAGAATGAATGAGCTAGAAACATATTATGTGAAGTCGTTTTTGTTCCTATTTGTGCATGGTCATGGCTTTGGGACCTGAAAGGAACCATGTGAAGGAAAGTGTTTGGATATCCCTCCTGAATCGAACAGTTTGACTGCCAGTTTTCTGGACCCGTCTTGAACTGCCCAGATTGGCTTTGTCGTTACAATGCTGGTGGCCCACTATCTCCGGGGCCGCTATGCCTTTGCCGGGCTTTGCAATTGGGGGATGAGCGCTACTCGGAGCGTTCGCTTAGGGTCGAATGTGTGTAATCTTGTACTGTTTACGCGTGTCGGTTCATAATCTGTAATGTTACTGTAGATGCATGTGTGCAGAAAAAGCAGGCCGGTATAGCCAGCTCGTCATTTCTGTGTTCAACGGTAGTGACTCCTGGTGTGACAACCGGTTGACACTGCGAGCACAATTCCTGCGAGTAGATCACCAATTCCCACAGTCGTTGTTTGAACGTGTTGCGCTCAAAGTCCGACTTGGTGAAGCATCGAGGTGGTCAACGCTTTCGGCGGCCACTTGATGCCATGGCTCTTCCAAGGTTACAACCCAGGCGCTTTTCAGAGCCTCTTCATGTCGCTTGGGCGCAGAACCCGCGGCATGTCGAGCTGGGGGAAATAGCCGTTGACCTGTTTCATCCTGGTTCATCACCCACTGGTGTTGGTCATCTTAGTTCTTTTTTTGCAAGTCAGAATGGATCTATGCTTAGCTCATAGGAACTATCACATACAGTAGGATGCTGATATTTGCATATATTTGCAGTAGCTGCAGAAGAAGCAAACAAACACGTTCATTCATTCTGTCCATTTCAATGAATGTGCTGGCGCTGGTGCTTGGCTCTAGAAATTGCATTTAGCTAATCGTCACAAGCGACTGTGATTCGACAGAGATTGCTAGATCCGGCAGTAATGAATACAAGGTTATCATCTAATTTTGTTTGTTTGAACAAGATCAATAGACTCCGACCAATTGTGTCTTATCAATAGTCAATATATGTCAAAGTTAATGTAATGTTACTTTTCGGCATTTGGAAGCCCTGCAATTTGAGACTGATCCATATACTGAATACTTCCATATGAATTAAATACCAAAGTACCAGAGGAATTGAAACAATATGATGAAACCTCATTGGTTTGTCCTCATTCTGAAACCAGATACAGTATTCAATAGTTTCCACGGTGATTTTCTCTTGTGATCCAAGGTTTGCCTTTGGTGTTTTTGCCATCACTCGGCCAAGCGTCCAGTTCGCGGCGGCGTGTGTGCTGAACGGTGTTCTCTTCCACGTTGCTGCTTGGTTAGGATTGCACGTATGGCTGTCCAATGTCACCATCATGGACCATTGGCGCCCCGTGCGGTGTTTGGCACAGTAAGGTAACAAAAGCAAAGCAAAAGAAGTGAATTTGATCAAGAATAGCATCACCAAACCCCGCACTGCACTGACTGTAGGGCTTCGCACCGATTGCGTGCACTATACATGCTAACAAAGTATATGCTCCCGAAAAGCACCGGCAGCAATAGCAGCAAGGCTAACTAAGAGCTGGTCCAAACCTGTTTGATTGCACTGTTGTTCGTGGTAACGGTGCCTTATACGTTCGATTGGAACCGCTGCACAAGCCGATTTGGCGAACTGCTCACCCAGAATTCATTAATTTCTTGCTCTCAGTCAGATTGCATAAAAGAATATACAAGAGAAGATCCAGAAGTTTGCCTCAATTTACTTTGTCGATCCAACCGAGTCGATCCCTCCCTACTTCGAAAATTATAGGGAAAGGCAAGGTTGCTCAGGACTTGACATTCCAAAGCAAGGGTCAAAGCGGTCAACGGGGTTCTGGGTACTTATGCATCATGCGCGGGAAATTGCCTAGCTTCATGATGTTTGTTTGTGCCTCGAGATTGCCTTCTTTGTCGGGATGAACTTGGTCTTCAAATACCACTTTCCTGCAGAAGTGGTTGCTTTGCTGGGCTTTCTATGTTCCACTGCGATGCCCTTGGGCTTTGCACGGCTATGCGCGCCGGATGACCCAGATGACTACGAAAAGATACTTGGTTCGATGATGACTACGTTCCATTCTTTCCTTTCATTCCACTGACCATCATGTTGGAGAACCGAACTTTTGCAAAGAATCAAGGAAACAGTGTGAGAACGCTTGTGAGAACTTGGGTGACCTTGTTGCTGGCTATACGTGGGTCAAAACCTAAGAGACCAATGACAGTTTTGATATGACTCGGATGATCATGACGCTACTAGGGGCCTCTGGCATCGCTACTAGGAGCAAGGACGCTACTAGTGGCTCCTGGCCTTACTAATACTAGGAGCAAGATGGAGCAAGAAGCTATTAGGAACAAGAAGCTACTAGGGAAGACATTCACGACCACGCATCCATGTTGCACGGCTTCTCGGGCCAGAGGATGTCTTCAGACTCAGAGGACGAGGAGGGCACACCGTAGGGCACTGTGAGTGTCAACATTCCAGACCCACAGGCACTGACACCCTGGGTGGCCTGTGTGAAACACCTGAAGGCAGCCTTGTCCACCAGAAGAATACGGATGCACATGGAACAAGGGCATTCAGAAGATGCATTTGCGGGGACAACAGATTGTAGGTTGTTAGTCGGACAATGCTTTGGCCAAGGCCACCGATGCCCACAGCCTGTGGTTATAGGGTCAAAGAACCCAAAATACATCCAATATGGCGAGGATCTTACCAACAGATTCCAGTTTGTTGAAATTCACTCAGTGTCCAGTGTAGCTGGCAATGGTTTTGTGAAGGATCCATAGTGTGTTATAATCTATCGTTGAGTCATGAAGTCTACTGCCCTGGAAGTCCAACGCGTGGTGTGTATTTTAGGGAGGGAATGCAGATGATGGCTGTGCATCATGTGGAGTAATAGTTTCTTTGTTAGGAAGGGGTGTGGAAGTGGCAAAACAAGAAGGTGTTCTATATATCACTGCAGGCACATTGCACCTTTTGTTGTACCTTTGTGTAAACTCTGCAGATTCATTCATGAAGAACAATCACCCGGAAGCATCTTCAATCTGACAACCTCCTACAGTAAACAATCCTAAACCAATCTAAACCACATCAAAAGGGGTTTCGCATAAAACATCACTTAGGTGTTATATGGTTTTAGGCCATGAAGCCAGTCTAGTTTCGGGGTAATAATCGGGCAATATGGTGAGTCGTTGAGTCATTGGTATCATTTTATGTAGATGTATCATGATGTGTCATGTTGGATTTCCAGGAGGCATCGGCCGATTCGGTCTGTTTTGGGCCACTCAAAGAATGAGTGGCTTGGAACGTGGAGAATTGACCGCGACGCTACTCGTCACATGCGGCGAGTGACACTGCTAATGCCTCCAATCCAAAAGGCCTGCGATGCTTGCTGGGCCGTGTGGTGGTTTCTGTGCACGGACTGCCACAGACTCCATTGAGATGTGTCTCTTCATGCTCTATTTGGAGCTCACCTTGTACATGGTGTTCAGGGTTCGGAGCCTTCTGGCCCTCTCACTCACCCCACAGTGTGTGCCCCCTTTGCTGATGGATTTTTTGTTGACGTGATTCCGAGGGGTCACTGGTGATTTCACCGGGCCGGGTGATGCGATTGCAACTATTCCCACTGTTTCAACTTCACGCACATGAAAACAAAGAATGGGCAGCCTCGGCAATCCATCATGTTTCATCTTGGGTTTCAACCCAGACGTAGCCTTACCCTTCCAAACATATGACCTTCAAACTCACATATCACCCCTGGTACAGAGAATTATTGTCCATAAACTCTGGCAGTTTTCATGTTAGTTCACCCAGGAAGCAGGGGTAAGCGTTGGTTCTGAGACCCTTAGATCTCTTGGATTTATCCTCACTTTCTGTCTCCACTGCTGTTCCCCTTCGATCTCTTCTGAAGGAGTCAAGCAGTCCACTGACAACAGGTGGGAGAATAGGTCAAACTTCCTCAGTTATATAATGTATGTGATGGTACTTTTTCCTGTATGACTCAACACAACACTCAGTGGTTGTGCAGCAGATTCGCCTCTTTGGACTGAGGAGACAAGATGTACTTTGTGAGGCAACGTGACATCGGGACACCAGGTTGCTTTTGGTGTGGGGGTCAGCTTTGAAGGGTGTTCACACCTAATACCTGGTTTCCTGACTTTGGATTGACAGCAAGGAAGAGGATAGATAATGTTATATAAAAGAGGTGACGGGGAGAAGGCCATAAATTAATTAATGGTCAAGCTTGGTCATTGGCATGGGAAAAATGCCCACCAATTATGTTGGCCTGTTGTGGAAACAGCTCAACAATGGCGCCTTGATTGACCCCCAACATAGCGTTATGTGGTGCAAGATTCAAGAGAGCACAAAAATTCAGGAAAAAAAACGATATCTTTTGAACGACTTTGCACACTAGTAGCTAGTGGTTGAGTCAACCTGGGTCGCTGTAGGAGAGGCCTTGATGTGTGTTCATGCTTCCTCCAGACGCGAGTGGCCGGCCAAGTTCCTCCGACAACCCTACACGGAAGTGCAAGTGAAGCCAGTTCAAATCAGACTGAGGCCGCATTTTCTATTTATATTATACCACTCAGTATACCACTCAGTAACTTGCAAGTGTAGGACGGTAGGACGAATTCGTTTACCTTCCTTCCTAAACATGTTCTTTATGTTATTGAACCCAAAGAGTGGCAACCACTCCCGAAAACTAACATGGACTCTGAGAATGGGAGCTGGAAAGACTGTTTTCCACGGGGTAGTCCTTTTGCTTCTGATTTACAGCGATCAACTAGCTTTGGCATAGAAATGGGTTTCCGACTTGAAGACGCTTTTCCTCCATACCAGATATTGGAACTGTCTTGGTGGAAAGTGTACACTAATTTCAACATAGCCAGGTGTGACTTGATACTGAAGGCAACTCAGCAACCGCAGGGTCCGTTGTGGATCCTTACAGTTCAAGGACATGGTCCATCCTCGTTAGCAGGAAACCCACCTGACCACGATGAGGGCCAAGGGTCATTTTTTCGAAGCGCAGACCATTTGTCCCGAACTCTTGCCAAAGTTTACTCGGGTTTACTATACTCGACTATACGTGTTTTCCATGTGCTTTTTCATTCGCCGGACCGTTCCCTTACGGAGAACGTTTCAGCAAACTAAGTCGACAAAGACTCGAAAACCAGTGTTTGTTTTACCCCGAAGAGCTGCCAGATTCATCGTTTGGGGAAGGTCTGGGGAGCTGGGCTACAACTTCGATCACACGCCACATTTGACGGATGAGATCGATCCGGGTTCACGGATCAGTGGCTTGGACGAAGGTCAGGCAGATGACAAAAACTTAATGCAAAGCTTAAGCGCTATAGTCATGCAACCCGGATTCTCGTTTTGTCGTTTTGGAGTGTTGAGTCTTGAACTTGACCTGGGGCTTGTGTCATCATTCTCAATTTGGAATGTCGCCTAGCAGCTCTAGACCCCAGATGGCCCGGTGATGGTACAAGACCAAAAAGGTCGTTTAGATGGATCCCCACCTAAATGTCCTCCGGGATCAGATCATCTACATGTTCTACTGTAGGCTCAAATAGATGAATCTGTTCCTTTGTGTGGCGTCTCCGGCAACACCTTTAGTGCTGTTGAAGGGATCGTTGGTGTTCCGTTTTGAAATGGTGTTTGGGGACAGATGGGAATCTGCCAGGTCACAAGCCAAGTGATTCGTGACCTTCTTGAGACTAGTAGCTTCTTGTTACTGGTAGTAATGGCCTCCAACCTACTAGTTTTTTGTTCCAGTCCCTTCAAGAAAGCGTGGAAGGTGGCACATGCCATCAAAGAGGATTTGTCTCAAAGAAGGGGCATGTTCCACGAAACTAGGGTGGTGTAGTGTGGCGTAACTGGCGTCACCATATCGATATATATATAATTATACGTATCTATCTACACAATGCTCACGTGGATTCATGGTTTTGGCTTCTTTAAGAGGCAGTTCCCAACCTGGTTGCAAGCTGTTGGTTTTTGAACACAAAATCTGAGGCGAGCCGGCCTTGTGGATGCAATGGCATTATCGAGGCAGATTGGCATGCACAGCTCAGAAGCTGGGCAGAGACCAGCCATTCAGATCCGCACAAGCCCAGCCTCACTGGGGTTTGACCGCCCACAAGATACTAGTAGGGTGGAATTATATATTAAGAACCAGTGCCTGAGCCTTTTGCTCCGTTGTGTTTTGTTTCACCCAAGTACCACAAGCGGATGAGTCCAGAAGAATTTCAATCACGAAGTTCCCCTTAGGAAAATTTAGGAAGGCTAAGGGCCAGCAAACTCAGATCAAGTTTTCGGTTGGTCCCTGCTCTTTGCTGGAAAGTATATAGGATGTTCGGTGTAATTAACCCACAATCATGGCAGAAAAGCTCCCGTGTTTTTGAGGCCGCTGGAGCAGCAAAAGCACATTGGAAGGTTTATGTTTGTTTGGTCCTGAGATGTCCCGAGAAGTTGATCTATACTATACGTTAGTTGAGTTGCGTTGAAGTAGGTCAAAGATGCACTGCCATGCCAATTGTCGTGCTGCACTACATGGCACGTCTTTCTGTGGATGTAGTCTTAACTTTGCTACTGTGGGCTTCTTTCATCCTCGTTGTTTTCATCAGAATCGGCAGCTAGGGCACTTCAAACCTGCAGTGAATCTGCAACAGGGATGATCCAGTAGATGATCCAATTTCTGGTGCAACAATTTGTTCTCCGAACACAGTGGGCCCAGCTATGGATACAGTTGCAACTCTCACTGCCTCACACGCTGTTTACCCCACGGCGGGCTCCTGGTGCCGCCTGCGCGTGCCGGCTAAGAAATTCTCACCTTTTCAGCCTGGATGCCATGACCTTTCGCAAGGTGCGGGAGAAAGCCACAGCAGTTTGGAGGAAAGAACCTGGGAAGCAGTGTTGAAGGAAGAACGAATCATCACTACCCGACTAATCAGGGCTTTGTGCATCGGTGCAAGATGCCTCCAAGGGAGGGAGTAAGGAGATTGGTGAGGCTTGACCAAGTTTGGATGTTGCTAGATTTCTCAAAGTACCTAAGATTTGTATTGACGTGTAATGTCTTAGGGAAAGGAGATCCACGTAGGCAGATTTCAATGGTGATGACTTCTAGTTTTTCGGTATTGCTGTTGTGGTCACAATGTTCCTATCAACTAAATCCAGAAAGGCGTAGCCTCACGTTCCACCTCTTTAGATTTGTCCATCGGTTTGTCACGGGTAAGCAACTATACGTCCGGTATCGTGATACATAATATAACAATATGGATATATATATGACATAATACATACATTATACAATTAGAGATATACATATATGTCATACACATACTGATGCATTATGTATCCTTTCACATGTAACCTGCTCAACTGCCGTGACGGCCGGGGTGATCAATCCTTGACGCGCGGGTGGAGGATCCATCTACGTCTCTGCAGGTCATGACGCGAAGCCAACATGCAGATCTCTTTACGTTGTACGGGCGTCTCTTTACGACGCTCGGTTCGAAATTGGTTCAATCATATTTGTTATCAAAGTTGAAAGAGTTGAACACAACAAGAACTTCGGGATACTAAAGGGGTCGTGGTTGCTTTGAGGGCCTGGGTGCCTGGGGTGGGACCGACCCAGACCTTTGTACTCTCTACTTTACCATTTTGTACAATATAAGTTTATTTGGACAGAGTCTTGGTGTGTTTAGTTGGATAATCTTTTTCAGTTGAAATACTACTTTTGCTCACCAGGTGTCTCAGCTGAGTGTTTTGACTCGTCACCCAGCTCACGGCGGTTGGTCTGAGCAAATACCCAATGTTAAATCAATGCATTCTGTGCCTACTCATCGGGTCTTCGTAGGTCTGAGGGGACGAATGAAACAGACCAACTCTCAAGGAAAATGATGGAGGACTACTGCGACAACAATGAAGAAGATGCCAGTGACCTGGGCTCAAAGATGCTCAAAGGGAAGATGCACCTTTTTCCAAGACTTGAATCCGCCACACTGGTTTCCCCATTCCGCCCTGCAAAAACATGCATCATTTATTGTAATTTCTTTCTGAATGTGGGATTATGATTTTGGATTCTGTAGTGGACTATCTAATGGGGAGTCAACGGTCAGGCGATTTGTACGGCAACGACGAGCAAGTCAACAAAATGCTGAAGCTTTGCTCCATGATGGCCGCTGGAACCAAAACAGATTTGCGAGCGGAGCCTTGGCAACAAATGGTTCGGTTGCCCTAGCTACCAATCAATGTGCATCACATTTCATGACCGCCGCTTGTGGGTCATCATCCAGTTCATTGTATGAAACATAGTGACCACGGCAGCCGTGACCGTGGCAAGTCTATCGTGGGATGATTCTGAATTTTGCCAATGGAAAGTGCCGTGTTGAAAGAAAGACTTTAAGCATTTGAAGCCTAGATTTGCTCTTCGCAGTCATTGTAAAGTTCTGGGATCAATGTCCGTCAATAGCTCGGACCTAGCAAAAGGCTTTGACCCGGGCAAGCTGGTGATGAAGTGGGGCAATATGTTGAAGTGATTTAATGCACTGTAGAAACAAAGCTAATAAATATATACTGCAACAGCATTTTACATCCACTGCACAAACATAACCCAAGAGGGTTTGGTAGGTAATTGAAAGATATTGCGAGTGCATCCATGTGAACCATATGCATGCCTTTCAACATCTTCCATTCTCCTTGGATCTGCTGCCAACCACTTCACTTCTCGGGAAATCGACAGCCAGCTCCCAAGATCCCCAGAAGGGCTCATGACCATCGTTTACTTGTGCGGAAAGAATAATGGTATGGGCTCAGGGATGTCTTGAAAAGATCCCAAAAGGCAAAGACAAAGCCAAACAGGCACTGCTGTTGTTGGAATAAAGGCCTCGGAAACGAGCAAAGAACGCGGGGAGATGCCACCCTGGAGACCTGCAAAAGGTGTGTGTGGCCTACTTGTTAACTTCTTGATGTTCAGGGTCATGCGCGTCTACAACTACAACACATGGGTAGGACACACAATTTCGCACGAATTTGCCGCGTTGGCCAAGGTATTTTTGGCGTGGAAGAAGGTTTTGCTTCCACGCTCGCAAATGGAAATTATACAGTCGAGGCGGGGCCATATTCTCTCCACACATTTTGCACTTCTGGCAAATGATCCATGCATCCAAAAGAAAACATGTTTGAAGACAATGTAGACGATGCTAGTGTATCTTTGAATTCACGTGGAAATGATTTGGTCACAAACTTTCTTGTCAATATGCTAGGTCTATATGCTAGGTCTATATAACCTCATACTAGGAACAAGAAGCTACTAGGGGCTCCTGGCATCGCTACTGGGAGCAAGGACGCTACTAGGGGCTCCTGGCCTTACTACTCACACAACTTGCGCATCGGTCGCCGCGCTTCCCGGAGCCCTTCACCGTGTTGGTGGGTGCTCGGGAGTTTGGTGAAATGGTACGGTAGGGAGTATCCTAAGTTCTATACAGAAAAGAAGGAACCGATGTTGGCTAACTAAGTGAAACCGAATGTCCGCGCAGCACTTAGATAACATGTTCCTAAATTACGAATTAGGAGCAGGTGGGATGGCCACCTGATCCAATGCCGCATGCTTTTTACGAGCTTGTCGCAGGTATCGTCGATACAAAAATCGCTGTTCAAATGTCAGGTAATCAGTATCAATGGCCAGAAAATGAGATTTTGCGAACTGCATGGGAACCAAACCGTCTGGATGGTAGGGAGGCTTACAGTGTAAATCTTCTGCATATCGCATGAGGGTACGCTGGATGGCTCGAGAGTTGGGTAATTCCGGACGAAGGGCGAAACCACCAGTGTATGCACGTCCCCACCCAATTTGAACAAGACTGTTAGAACCTGTTTTTGAAAAGGCTGGTACAATGGGTCCATCCGAGTATCCTTGCAGATAGAGAACAATACTACGAAAGGCCTCGGATTGCTCCGGAGTGATCTTTTAGGGACCGGTAGTGCCAAGACTTGAGGATCCTGCCAGAAAGGGACGAGCACGGGAGGTGGACGCAGTCTGGATCCAGACAGGAAGTTGTAAGCCGGTATTCACGATAAACGCGACTGTCAGTTCGTGCCATGTAATCATGTAATCCCCACCGTAGTAGTCGGGTCGGTCTGCAGCACCGACGGGTCTGGCCATTTCAAGGAGGCACAAAAGCGTAGCACTAAATCTGCATATTGGTTTCCCCATACACAGGCCGTCACGAATGCAGGATGGATGGTAGGCTGAAGCGTAATGACGGAAGACGCGATCTGGTGTGATTCGCGGAGTCGGTAGATCGTGCCCCAATCATTTGTGGAATCGTGCGAGGATGGCGAAACGGATTGAGCAGAGGTCTGCTGTTTCAGTTGTGCATGTTCCAGGTTGAGGTCTGCAAGGTAGGCAAGAATGGCCTTGGTTTGGCTGAACTGATCTGTGTGCCATGTTTGGGCCTGAGTCACCAGGGTATCACAAAGTGGATGATCTATTTGTCGAGCACGAACTGCGGCCTGGTCCGCCCATGCATTACCCAGGGCATGTGCGAGTCGATGCCAATTAGGACGGTGGTTAGATTGGGTAATCTGAGTGATGCTATTAATGACATATTGAGAATCTGTGGCGATAGTGACAGCGTGTTGAACATTCCAAGTTACGGCAGCGAGTTCCGCTCGGGCGATGGACTGCGGGCCTGCCACATGCTGGATTTTAATGGTAAGATAAGGGGTAGTGGTAGATGTAGAGCTGAACTGAATGACTGACCATGCTGCCCGTCTGGTATCAGTATTAAGGGGAGTGTCAGCTGAACCATCAGTGTGAAAGTAAAGTGTATCATTGTGGAGGCGGATTGGGGTATGGCCAGAGTCCTGGCCTCTATGGGCAATGAGTTGTCTGAGAACGGCAATGTCCGGGAAAGAATGTGGCAGCGGCAACCATAGCTTAGTCGTGTGGCGGTCAAGATAAGCAATGGGCTGGGGGTGACGATCTCTAACGGGTTGAAAAGCTGGGCATGTCAGTTGTTGGTGGTGATGGGTATCAGGCTGGCCACAGAAAGGACAGAGGTCACTAACCGTGATAGTCCGCATTGCTTTGACTGCACCAACTTGGTATCCCCCGGTCAAAATATAAGCTATCTGTTTGATGCTAGTGACAGACATTGACTTGAGGACGCGAGATAGAATGGCGAAATCGAAAGGGTGTTGATCAACACCTTTACGATGGCAAATTTGGCGTGCGAGGCGATACGCCCAGGCATGTCGCAGAGAATGGCTAATGTGCGGAAGCGAATCATTCCGAAGAGAGACTGATAAAATACCCATCTAAGGTGAGCCGGCCTGTAGAGTCTACCGTCCAACCAATAAGAGTAAGGTAACGGGCAAGTGCTCCAGCTGGACCAACTGCAGGACCATGATGATTGACTACAGCCATTAAGAAGGTTTGAGCGAGGGTCGAGTTAGTATGGAAAAGCCAACGAACAAACGATACTGCTGTGGATATGACATAAAGCAACGGATCCTGAAGGTGGGGACTAAAAACATGAAGGGCCAACCAGCTGGAAATATGATGTTCAGGACCCACTAAAGCCGTGGCGGCTTCTCTGCGCAAGGATCGGAAGTGCACGTCTCCGACGGCCTGGGTTTCGGCACCATAAAATGCATGAGGCCAAATGGCAGTCTGTATTTGACGAGCCTTTTGTAGAATATCAGTTTTGAGCCATCGCAGCCGGCGACATCGTTGGATGGCACTATTTATTTTGGTCTTAAAGATGCCCCAAGACAATATGATTAGTATAATGCGTCATGCATCCTAGATCTTGTGTAGAGTTGAGAACTGACACTGGGTTATCCTGGGGAAATTCTTCATGTAAGAATGTCTTCCACTCTTTGCGGGCATCAGTACTTGCCCCCCAGGCCCAGGATTTTGTATAGTCAATTTTCATACGTAAGGCCTCTACCAATTGTTGGACTGTCGGCGTGTGCATACGGGTGAATCGTAGGTGAATGCAAAGTCCAATAGAAGGCGGAGGATACGACCAACATTGCGCAAACGGACATACTGTCGCCTTCAGGAACCCCAGTAGTCATGGTCATGGATGGTCCGATCTGGCCTCGGACCTGGAGGCGACGTGTCAGTCGTGTAAGGTTAGTAAACCAAAACTTTACAGAGGCTGGAGGAGCCCCATGATGGATGAGTAAATGATCCCTGAGCATCGGATATTGATCCTAATCAATAAACCGAAAAAATATCAATATTTTTGATTTGCCAAAAATATTGAAAATCATATTGATTTTGATATTGATTCCGGTATTGATCAAATTTGATCAAATTTGGCTGCTTTTTGATCAAATTTGATCAAATTTGGCTGGTTTTTGATCAAATTTGATCAAATTTGATCAAGCTGACCATGTTGCTGTTTATTGAATTTCCTATTGATTTTTGCTTGGCTTTGAGGAAGAATTTCTATTGAAAAAGCACGCGCCCAAATCAATAGAAATTGTTGATTCTTTTCAAGAATATTGATTAGGATCAATATCTGATGCCCAGGGATAGAGGACTCGACGGGGTAACAGATTGAAGGCTTTGATGAGGTCGAGGGTGAAACCGCGCCATGGCTGATGGCTCGTCTTGGCTGATTCAATCTGGAAGGAATGTCACGTCCTGTACTCCACGAAAGGGTAGGCCACCTGAGATGGCACTCGGCCAGGTTGTGGCCCACTGCCCAAGCAATTGGTCAGCAATGAGTTTGGAGGTCAAACGGCTAAGATAGCCTAGAATGGTGATGGGTCTGCCGTCAGTAATAGATGTGGCTGGGTTCCTTTTCGCCAGTAGCACCACGCGGGCAATGAGTTGATGGGCTGATAGTCCAGCAGGCCAGATGAGCTTAAAAGTCTGAGTGAGGTCAACTATGGCGTCATGTGGTAACGATTGCAACTCTTCCGGCCGCCACCCGTCAATGCCTACAGCTTTAAAAGGCTTAAGACGAGCAATTGTTTGCATTACGATATGCGGGTCATCCCAAGAGACTGTAAGGCAAGTAGAGGGTGGAATACGGGTGCGGAGATCATGGATGACTTCTTGCCAGGGGTGATCCGAACGTTCTTCTTCTTCACTGTCACGATTCCAAAACTGCTGCCAATATGTTTGAAAAGGTTGTGCCATTTCATGGACATCAGTAACATAGATCTCCTGAGTAAGATCTCCTTGGACAGGCACACTTCCTTCAAGGAGCTGGCAAGTAAGGTGGTTGTCTCGTTGTTCCGTGATTCCCAATAAGGCGTTACCAAAACGAACAGCGGCAAAGAGACGGAAGGCTGTTGGCTGGTGTAGGATGAGTTGAACGGGTCCTTTACTGAGCCGCCGTAGAGTGGCCTGCGCCGTGATGGTTGTAGGGAATCCTGGCAGGATTTTATTTTCATGCGCCTTTAAAAGTTTATAGAGATGAGCTCCGGATTTGAACTTAGTATCTAATTCCATTTCATGTTTACGTGAAAGTCGGCGGAGCTTGGCTTCGTACTGGCAAAAGGCATCAGCGTCATTTTGCGTGAGTTGTCGGGCACAATATAGGAGATCGAAAGACGGGAGATCAACCGACATGGCCGGAATGGCGTCAAAATTGAAGGACTCAATGGACCCAGGATCGACCATTGCACCTCCCGTCTCGCTCCCCTGCCTTCCTTCCCTCCCTCTTCCCTTCCCAACCCCATCCACCTCAACCTTGAGCCCGACAAATAGCCTTCCAAAGCTGGTGTAGATCGGCATATGGCAATCCCATTAGCGGCTGATTAGAAACACTGCGATCAAGATGATGTCTAGAGTATAATCGTTCAAGACAGCGTAAGCGTCTAACCTGACGAGTTTTATGTCGACTTTTAAGAGACGTGGTCTCGGCTGGTGGTTCATACTGTCTGGTAACGTCCCGTTTGGGAGATGTAGGAGATGTGGCACGAATAAGCCGTGGTGTAGCGCATCGACCACGAAATGTTTTCGGTAAGAACCGCTGTACATGAACGAAAGGATTGGCATCATGTTGAGCCTTCAAGGTAAAGTCAACTGCTTTCTCAATTCGAGATGACCATCCGAACAATTGGGCAGTGACCTCATCGGGTGAT